GTATATATTGCGATTTTTGTTTGGTTTTTCTTTTATTTATAATTGCATATGCTTTAATTATTTCATGTCTACGAGTTACATCCTCCGTTCATCCTGCTTCTTTTACAATATTATCATTACTTAAACATTGAATTCAGTTACGTTCTTTTTAGTGTAATATTTTATGCTGGCTTAAAAAATCTTCTTTATTTAATAGACACGACTGCATTAATGCTCTGTCCACACTTCAAATACTGTATAAGTCCATATATGTTCATGATGATGTCATTATTTCACCCAGATATAGATATATCACTTTTTTCCATAGAGATAAAATAAGAATACTAGAGCGCTAACTGCAATGTATTCGATGTTTGAAATACGCCGAGCTGTGAGTGTGTACCATCCAATATGGCTGCCATACATTTAGCCAATCAAATTTCGCCTAAGAACCATCATTTGCAATTGCGCCCTCAATTTATACAAAAAGTTCAGTACAGCTAGTTACCCGTATGTTTGAAACTCGAGCGTTGCGGTGTATTGGTGTAATGTACACGATTTTAATTTCATTCTTTGGTACTTTACTTTTAAATAAGGAGCTCCACTTGGCCTCGTTTTGGCTACGATAGTTCAATAATTTGTTATTACCATTACTCACTATCATTACTGAAATAATAGTCAGTCAAAGGCCTTATTTATGGTAATAATATGTATACTAAGCCTGAAGGTGGCGCTTTACTACGACGACCATCTTGGATGGTACACATACATAACTCCGCATTGCTTCGCCATGTTGTCAGCACTCTAGTTGTTTAATAGCTCTATGCTTTTTTCACATACAATTTGATAGTGTGAACAGAGCTTAATTCGTGAAAAATATACCATAAAATAAACCATTGCTAATTTTTGTATAAGATTTAATACGTTGTATGTGAGCATGTTTGTAAATATACGCATGGGTAGGTCATTAATATGTCATTTGATAATATGTACATGTAAATAGTTAATTATAATGTAGGCCTAATTAAAATAACATATGCTTACTAAAAAAAGGGAAAAGAGAGGTTTCGCACGCGAACGAATACGTGTACGCATACGTTTAGCTATCCGTAACGGTTCGTAGCCATTCTGTGTTTTTCGCAATCACAGCGCAATTCAAGCGTAGCCTAGGCCTAGGGCCTTGTAGCCGAAAAGAGAATACTTCCTTTTTTGCCCAGAAGTGTTGGTTATTTTGTGATAGGCCCTATTGTTTATGACCCAAAAGTGCCTGGCTACAAGTAGGCCTAGGCCTACACAAAATCCCGACACCACTAAGGTCAAAGCAAACCGACGTTTTGATACCCCAAAATAAGACGCATCGTTTAGCGGATAGCAGCCGGCGTATGACGTCAAAATAATGATGTAACCGTACGCGTTCGCGTGCCAAACCTCCCTAAAGTTTGAGAATTGGCGGAAGAGAAATTTAAAATAAAAAAATCTACACATAAAACATCAAATTGCTTTATTTTCAGTAAGTATATACAACATAATAAATAAGATTAGACCTACACAAAAAACGTTAACTTAGAACAAAAAAAACAAACATTCCTTTCTAATTAATATATTATTATATATAATGTTATATATCATTACTATATATTTCATAGACCCTTACATTATTGAATTGCGAACCTCTTGGAAATTTGCGTAATAAACGATTGCTTGATTGATTGATTGATGGATTGACGGATAGATTGATGGATTGACGGATAGATTTTTGGATTGACGGATTGATTGATCGATTGATTTACTGATTAATTGATTGTTTGATTGATTGATTGATTGATGGATTGATGGATTGATTGATTGATTGATGGATTGATGGATTGATTGATTGATTGATTGATGGATTGATTATTTGATGGATTGATGAGTTTATTAGCAACTCAAATTTTATTTTACAACACACGGTTTATATATATATATTTACAATTCTTTACTATTCTCTTTATTATTTCTCCATCTAGAAAACTCTTCATGTTCTGGAAAAAAGGACCCTGGGTATGGCCCATATATTTACAGTAAATGGTAAGATGTAAATTGAACAATGACTACTTCTAGACCCGGCCCTATTATCATATTTAATAATGTATATCTATAAAAACGAAGCTAAATTCTTTTACAGAACGGTCACGGTTGAGTGAATACTTCATCGCACAATTCGAAAGCTCTATATGAAGGACTGTACATTCGTCTACTCCTTCAAAACAAATCGTTCATAACTTAGTTTCTAACTATTCTATATTAATTTGGTTTGATATTTTCTTCACTTATCAACATTCAAGACGTTCAGATCATTAACGGTACTTGCTGTGACATTTTACAGGTACTACGATGTAGGTGACAAGATTTGTAAACCATTTAACTACCTCGGTTCAGGCGGCAACGGAAACCGGTTCCCCTCCTACGAGAGTTGCAGTTTGCAGTGTAATAGTTGCTGCTTTCAAAGCATGCCAATAAACCAGAACAATAGTTGTGACGGCGGTGGATTTGAATGGGCCTACCATCAGGGTAGGGGTGTGTGTCTGCCGTTCAAAAACAGCACTTGTGGTTCTGCTGACAACAGCATTAATCGGTTCCCAACAAAACGAGAGTGTGAACGAGATTGTTTATTTTACGGTGAGTTTTTCTTTTTTTTCACTTTAGGAACAAACTGCACGAGTACATCCGAACATCGCTAAGCTAGTCACTTTGTGCGACGACGCGACGCTAGAACGGAATCGCTCATGCGTGACCGTCCTACTTGCGTCCTACGTTCTCTACATACGCAGATTTGGCCAAATTGCGTTCTAGAATCTACTCGACGAGGTGACCTTAACGTTCTCGCATGCGCAGATGATTTTTACTGACGTCATTACGTTCTACGTCCTACGTCGTCGTGAAAGCTCCCTAGTGTTAGCGCGCTTGACAACGCCACGCCTTATGCAGGTCATTCGGTGGCATTCTGAACGGATCATTAAAAACGATCCGTCGTTGCGTACGTACTTCTCGCCGCGTTGCGTATTGCCGCGCGTTGTGCGTGGGCGGCTTTATCATGCATTTCTTTATATTTGGAGCTCCTGTTTTGTCGTTTAAAATGCCATAGAAGAGAGTATACCACATCTCACATCAGTTGATTTTATCCGATCTGAAATCCCAACAAAGCCCAAGTGGCCCAGTGGGGTAAGTTTTCTGCATAAACAGCAGAAAGTCCCTTGAATATTCGCCTAACCACATTCCTTTCCTTCATGTTACAGTTAACGTCATCAACCAAAGCCTCTCTACCTCTCTCTACTCTAAGGCTACAGATAGCAATATCTCAAATCGTAGCTACTATCCCAACAGCCTTAAGAAATCAATCATTATATAGCAGTTTCTCCGCATTAAACGTATTTGTTCCGATCCAGTTGATTACGAAGCCCAGATATACCGTATGCTCTCTTGCTACACTTTCTCAACAGTGGCTATCCTTTTAAAATTATGAAATCTCAGACCCTTGAGGCAGCGTCATACCCCTGCTCAGACCTCTTCAAAACCCAAACCCAAATCTGATGCTGACAGTATACCATTAGTTTTTAACTTTAACACTCATACCAAGTTAGCTAACACTATAAAGCATGATTTCCGTACCCTTCAACAGGACCCCAATATCAAAAATCTGTATCACAACCCTCCCTTACTAGCTAACCGTTAACCCCCGACCTCAAGTTTATTCTCACATTGTCCATTTTACTGTCTAACCCGACTTCCCATGGTAACATCAAGTGCAACAAAGCACGCTGTAAGGTGTGCAAACACCGCTCGTCACCAAACAGCATTGTTAAAACTCCTACACACCTCTTCCGCTATCAATCCTCCTCCCCTCTCCTGTGACTCATCTAACGTCATATATCTCCTCACATGTAATATCTGTGATCATGGCTCTTATATAGGCGAAACCGGAACTAAATTCAGATTCCAGTTTAACAATCTTAACAAGAGCAAGGGCTTCCCTGTCGCCGAACATTTGAACTCTCCTTGCCATTCCTTTAGCAACATCCGATGTGTTCTGCTAGCTGGAAGTTATCTGATTTTTCAATTATATTTCTTTATTTCTTTATTTCAAAAACCACAGCCAACAGCAATTACTTGCCAATAACAGGATGTCATAGAATATTTACAAGCATATAAATATAACAAAGATAAAAATAGAAAAACACACAAAAAAGAAACAAGGTCACAAGTCACATACACACACACATCCATCTACAGACCCCCACACACTCATCCCCAGCCCAAACCCAATCAGATCAATCATGTAAATGCATGCACATGTAATAAACTCGTTTTAAATGAACTTAAATTTTGATGGAATATATCAATAGTAGGATCTTCATGTAACAAAGTATTATAAGTACCAGTGGTAGCTTTAACCATAGAGGAATGCTTTACCCTACTTTAAATTACAGTTAATTGTTTTTCACACTTTCGATTCATTATCTTTCTCCCACCACATACCATGTCCCTGTGTCTCCATTATAGTGTATCTCATTTAATCATCCTCCTTTAATTAGGATGTTTATTGCATATAATTACCAGATCTGTAATTACCAACTTGTACAGTTGATGAAGTCTTGAGGAAAAGACGAAATAACCGTTTCCTGAATAAAATATTTTGTGTTCACTGTCTAACTCAGCGTTTTTGCATCATTATATTTGTATATATATATATATATATATGTATATATATATATATATATATGTTTATATATACATATATGTGTATATATATGTACATATGTATATATATATATATGTGTGTATATATGATATATATATAATATATATACAGTTATGTGTGTGCATATATATATGTATATATATATATATATGTATATATATAAATATATATATATGTATATGTGTATATATGTATATGTATATGTATATATGTAAAGGCATGTTCCCATATAGAAAGAAAATTTAACAAGTCTGCTATCCGTTACATTTAATGCTTCATTTTAACATGACAGGTTTGATAGTGATGAGTAAGTTATTCCTTCTCCCGATCCGCCAATGTACAGTATGACATTAAGTGGTACAGTTATTAAATTTACGATCGATGTCCAACACCCAAATAGATTTTGGGAGCTAGCGCACATCCGACTGTAATGTTACCGGTATACCTTATATACTAGGACTGGATTAACAACCAGCACGTCATTTTGGACATGCAAAACTTGACAGTAAAGCTGAATCCGCAAAATACAAAACGTAATTTTTGGGGGTTTCTTTTATTGCACTAATCTGCATCGTAATTGTTATGATATATTTGTTTTTAGGTGTTTCGGTGCCGCCAGTTCAGAACATTTGCCCTCGTATAAATACCCACGATTCTGTTTGCAATAGTGAATTCAGTAAGTCACAGTACAGTCTTTTATTGTCATTATAATTTCTGTGTATGAGTATATAATATGCTTATATTCAAACAATAAAGATTAAGTTAATATCATTTTACTTCAATAATATGATGTCGTACTACAGTACTTCATTTTATTGTAGTTATATTGTAATATTTATTCAATTCTTGAATATCTGCGATATTTTGGGATCAAAACCTTTTTAATTTGTTTGACATTCATCTGGTATTTAGAGCTTTAATGTTTTTATTTATTTCTTTAGTTGTTTCTGGTAGGGTATCGTCTATTTCTGTTGAAATATACTCCGAATATTTAGTAAATCGTCTAGTGGTTGAAGTATCAGAGACGTACAAGGGGCGTAACTTACTTCCGATTTACAACGTTACCAAAGCCGACAATAGTACCGCCGAGTTTCTCCATATTAAAAAGATATTAGTAGAGGGCAGAAATTGTTATAATATAGAAACAGGTAAAAATTATTCTGTTACACAATTTTATTTATGATATTACGGTATGTAAAGAAACTTTAGACAATATTGTGGTACTGTAATTCAATAATAAATACTGCAATTGTATGATTAGATGGATTTTTTGAAGTAATGGCAACTTGGTATCGTGTTGGAATCTCAAAAATATATAAATATTACTTTTCAAATTTATATATATATATATATATATATATATATATTAACAAAAAGAAATGTTAACTTGTTTACTTCATACTTTTATTCTCACTACATATATATACATATACATACATATATATATACATATACATATATATACATATACATATATATACATATGCATATATATACATATACATATATATATACATATACATACATATACATATACGTATATACACATATATATATATATATAAATATTCAAATTAGGTATACTGTTTATGTGTGCGTGTATATATACATTATGTGTATAGTATATACACCATCCTTATTTTCTAATATTGTGCATAACCTTCACACTTTTTTTTAATTTACAGCCGTAACTTATGTTTTCATGGGTTACACCCAGTACAACAATATGCTTATTGACGACTCTAGCTACGTGCAAGTGGAAAGAACATCAGTACTGAGTAAAATTAACACATTTTTGAATATGTGTCCGGCTTGACAATAAGGTCAAATACTCTTTGCAAAACCGGAAGTATTTTTGTATTATCGTGTATATATTTAGATCGTCCTTGTTAATATATTCTTATAAGCCTACAGATGTAAAATAGGCTGGTGTTGATAATGACTATATCGAGAGTTACTTAAATCATCTTAAATATTAAGACATTGCGCTTAGAAACTTGTATTTCCAGGGAGAGCAGCGATTGAACCTGGAAACTAGTAGACTTTGTGGTTTAAGGTTCAAGCGCACTTCAGTTGGTACTAAGAATTTAGCCGACTGATAATACTGCTCTTCTTTGTCTCAGGAATGTCTTATCTGTTTTAGTCTTTTCCATACCTCCGTTATTCTTTCTCTTTCGTTATCATCACAGGGCTAGGCTAATTGCTGTGAACGTATGGTACGGTAGATAATGTACAGTATTTTTCAACTGCTTTGTTTGTTTGTTTTTTTATTTCTTCTGAATTTATTATAAAGTAACTGTACATTATGATGAAATATTTTGGGTTGCCGTGTTTGTCTAAATATACAGGAATAAGATGACGTAGACAGCAATTTACAGACTAACAAATATCATATTTAAAACATAACTGATAATCACAAGTATTCGTTTAAGCAGTAAACTTCTTTGTGTGACAGTCACCTGCTAAAAAGTCAAGCTGCTTTGTTAGGGCCTATAATTATTAAGGTAATGTAGTTAGTCTGTTAAGGACAATTTACCTCATCCTTGTAACTGTATATACTGTATTTATGGCTCATGTTCATTCCTCCTATATTTCCTTCTTCGCTAACTTCATGCAACATATTGTAAAATTTGTTTATGTTCCTGAAAAAATGACACTGATTATTCCGATCTTATTCGTTTGTATTTAGGCCACAAAGTTCGTCATAAATATTTGCAATAGTGCAGCTGTTAATAGGTTTCATGATAATAATTTGTAGTTAAGGAAACCTATGGTCCTTTTTAAAAATCCTACAAAAACCCTAAAATTAGTTTTCTTCGGCGCCAGGTTTTCTCCCTATGCTTCATAATGGGTCCACAGACCTTTATCTACATCCTGCAACACAATAATGGGCTTATAAAAGATGAACTATGTAGTTATAAACACAACTAATGGCGTACATAAACCTTCACTTTCTTGGAACCTAAGTGAAAAGTCATACACACTGTATTCAATCATAACAAAAGGCCATATTTATGGCACTACATGTATATATGAAACACACATACATGTCCTACAATTATATGTAAATACAGTATATTTAAAAATAACACTAATGAATAAGTTGTGGATAATCCATATTATTTACAATGGTATTATATAAGATAAGTACCGGTATATAATAAATATTAAACATTTATCTTGAACAAATACATTTAGATTAAATGATAATAAATGTTACTATTTTATAAAATCATGACATACAGTCCAGCTTTAGTTACGCCAATTGTATTATATTGTATTCAACTAAAAGTGTTATAATGATTTAGAATATTAATCATAAATGCTATGAACCCATATAACAATGTGCCCTCTATTAAAGCTTATGTGAACAGGCCTTATAACTCCATGGTTTAGCTTATTTAGTAAAATATTTGTACATGTATCTATGTAAATTACATATTTTAATAATTTTTGTTTTTAGATTTTGTAGTATTTTAAGTGATTTTTAAGAGGCTCAAATGGATTTTCTGAATCTGTATTGTATTTAAGAGGAGGAAAATGATGTATGCTGTACATTGTGTTTTTCCCTTGTGATGGAAATATGGAACTCCCCAAAAATAGCAATAATTTAAAAAAGGTAACTTTAAAAAAACACACACACACAGTCCATTAAATTGTATATGACGCCACTGGCAAAGAGTCAGTGATTGATTAACGGTCGCTTTAAGTCAAAACTGTGTAATCAGTTAGTAGCTTGTTATTTTTTTCTGAGACAGATCAGGCTCTAACAAATTTTTTTTATATCTGGTCCAGATTACCGAGGAAATAATATAATTAGACCTACAAAATGAATCTGCGCACGATTTAAAAACACGGGAGAACTTGATCTCGGCAACCCCACTCTCTGTTGATACAAAGGCAGTGGCTATTGCTATACCGGTTTTTAACCAAATTCTAATTTTGATTGGATGAAACTCATCACAATACAATAGTATCCAATCAAAGTTTGAAATTGGTTTAGGATTTGTGTAAAACTAGCAACTGCTTAAAAAAAATAATATAATTATAAACTTAATAAGATTTGCTATGAAACGTTAAAAAGAGATTAGATATGGCCATACCACAATTTTTGTTTGATTTATAATAGTTATTATAAGGCAATCGTGACGTCATCGCTGCAACTCCCGATGTTATTTGCCTATCCCCCACAGTCCACTAATTGTTCGATAGTGGACGCTTGGCTTGATTTTTTTAGGTTCGTTTGTAAAAAAAAAATCTTCATTTTTCGTCACCGCGATGAAAATTGAATTGTAATTGAAAATTGCTTTAGTAAAACAAGGTTAATTAGAAACCGAAGAAAGTTACTTTAAATTCAATATAACAATTAAGCAATTCCTTGAATCAATGAACCCTAATAAACTAAACATACTGAACGTTTAATAGGAATATTCTAGAACTATTTTACAGACTCAAGGAACGAAGTTAGATGTAGGCCTACGGCCAGGCAGGAGGCCGCCGGGGCCACCTCCAGCCGTACTAGCCTAACGTATTGATGAAATCATCCCACAATTTTTACCTGTTTGCACCGACCAAAACGTTAGTGACAGTGACTGTATTCTCTCTCTCGAATGCTTTAAAAAATGTTTATTTCTTTTACGAATGTGAACATTACAAACAAGTTAAACTAACACAATTTAAATCACAAAATAGTCTAGATGATCATTTTATCCGTACTGTACTGATGATTTTCCTATAGTGTACTAAGCGGAGCTTTACTAATTGCTTAATACTGCAGTACAAGTCAACTATTATGTACATTATTATTTAGATACAAGTTTGTAATATGTATTTGTTAGCTGGTATATACATAATTTCAAGTTACAAAATGTATTTGATTAAGATTACAGGTCTTCCTCAGATTAAAGGTCACTTTTTGGGATCAGGGTTTTCATAGTCTTTAGTAGCTTTTGTTTTTAATTAAAGAAATTATTGTTACAAAAATAAAAGATAGACTTCTTGGGGCAGCAGAAATGTGGTTTTTAATTGGAGAGAGACCTGTATTTTAATTATTAATAATATTATTATTATTAATACTATATCAATTCAATTCAATTTAGTTTTATTGTCCAATTTTAAAAAGGAAAAGCAGAGCGGAAACAATTCATTGCATATTAAAAATATAAAAAATTGTACACACAGTAACAAAAAATAAAAATAAAATATAGTACCGGTAATCAAATACATTAAAATGTGAAAGAAGAATTTAGATTAAAAATTTATATTTACATATGATGACCTTCCTGATGTAGACTACTGTATGACTTATGTTAACATTATATTTTTCAACATAACGTTATGTATTTATAATAAAATTATAAAAAGGTTTTACAAACCTTTAGGACATATTTTATTGGAGATTGGGGTAAAATTTTAACCTGTAAAGTATGCAGTGAATTTTATTTATTAAATGTAACGATGTAAAATCAAGAACAAGAACATATAGCGTTTTACATGTCTTAATTCTGAAATGAAACTTAACAACTGACCAATCGGAACAGTGCCAGCGCGGGCAGGGGCTTTGTAGGTAAATCTATAAATCCATGTGGAAGCCGTTATCGCACAAGAATGGTTTGCTTTCTCAACATCGAGGCAGTGGCGTAACCAAAAAAAAAAAAAACCTGGTCCCTTGCTTAATGATTTCCTGTCCCTACTACCCTGGGAATAGATCTGGATAGAGTCCAATATATATTTATAGGCTAACAGGGCAAAGCTCCGACTGCCTCAGCTCTGTTAACGTTTTAAGAGTGTTTTTTTTTTATGTTTTTATACGTTCTGCTCCTTAAAAGGACCCACTCAGACGATTTAAAGCAAACAAATGCTGATGATAACCCTAGTAGACCTTTCTAAAAAATAAGCAATTCAGTATTTTAACTGAATAAGAATAGGCCCTACATAAAATATTGCTGCGTGACTAGACTGGGTTCCAGTCCCTAATTTTGTCTTAATCACTGAAAATTATTATATTTTGGCACCAATGGCGTTCCACATTACTTATTCGCATGGCGTCCCATAGTATACTTTTTCCCATCAAATGATTCAACGACATAACAAAAACAGACGCTGGTGGCACTCTTCGCAATTATCTACTATTACAAAAAGTCAATACTTAGAGACTTGTGGCAAGTCTACTGCATGACTAGTGGGCGTGCCTTTATCGTTCACTGATGGAGGACTTAGAGAGTGCGAGGTTGACTTATAAGTATGGGGTGCCATACGCAGCAAAAGTCCATGTTAAAATCAAAATGTAATTGCAAAATTCAATGTCTAATTTATCAAAACGTAGGCGTAAATTTCCCAAAATGTAGGTCTGGTTTCCCAAATGAAGTTCTAATTTTTCAAAGCGTAGTTCAAATTTTTCAAAATGTAGTTCTAATTTCTTTAAAATGTAATTCAAATTCAAAACGTAGGTCTGACTTGATCAAATGCCCTCTCCAAATTCTATTCCAAAACGTAAATCAAAAACCAGCCTGGTTTGAAATGTATTTGACAACAACACTAGAAACGGACTTTTGCTGCGAAATGTAAATCAAAACTAATCAGCCAAGCATGACGTGGGCCTGTTCCATTAATGTTGGGGGAATCATTTTTCGCTGCAGTCCAATGCCGTGAACAACGCTTCCCAGTGCGTCTGCTAATTTTTAATGGTCAGGGTACCGCGATCACGAGCCCTATGCTTGGCATTATAGGTTAGGCTTATGTGGGCCGGGATTTGCAATAAGGTCTTGGACTAGGCCTCTATACTATAGTAGGAGGCCTGGTCCTATTCTAGGCCTATAATATAGTAAAATTCTGTATAAGTAGTCATATGATTACAGGTTTACATTGTACCAAGATCGATATTAACGATCAGGGTGCAGAGGGTGCAGACGCACCCCCCCCCCCAATTCCAAAAGGTACACTTTTTGAAACCTATGATTTCACAAAATCGTTCCTAATTATCACAAAATGTTATAGCATGCCTTGCATTATATATTTGCCAGCGTATCTAACCGTTGATTTTTAATAATGTGGCATGAAATTTGTTAGAAATTGATCGTCACCGGTGATTGCAGATTGATCTACATAATATGAAGAATGTTATCTATAGGCATGCAGATGTACAGGACAAAATAACATTACTTTTTCTGGTCCCGAAAACACCAAAATTAATGAAAATTTAAATGAAATATTCATGAATTATGTGTTTGAGAAATCTATTATGTAAGACCCTCAAAATGCTACTTTGTCGCTTTTCTCACAAACCCCCTCAAAGCCTCTGCCCCTGGACTACCCAATTTCAAACTTTTAAAAACCTATTATTTCACTAAAATCGTTCCCAATTATCGCGAAATGCTATAGAATGCATTACATTTTTTTGCCCGTTGATTTTTAATAATGTGCTGAAATCTGTTGGAAATTATCAGTTCCAGTGATTGCAGATTGATCCATATCATCTGCAGGACTACAGATGTAAAGAACATGAAAAAATACAAGTTCACAGTGGTGGATTCAAGGGAGAAGAGCCCCCTAATATTATAAAAGAAAATGAAGAAAAAAGAAAAATCATAATTGTCTGAGAGTGCCATTTCCGGCCATTTTGAGGTGCCATAATCATAAATGTTCTTACCTCAGCTGCAATCATGGGGCTGAGGTGGTATTGACCATCTGTCTCAAGTTCCTCCCTTCACTCCCACCCTCTATTTCTCCTGCTTTTACTGTGGGTCCCTAATTTAAATTTAAATAGGATATTACAAATTATGGATTTTAGAAATTCATTAAAAAAGGCCCTCAAAATGCTAATTTGTCAGAGCTTCCAGAAGGTTCGCCCCACCCTCACGGGGACCCCTAGGCAATCGCCCATCGTAAGGTCCACTTCGGTTGCAAAACGCACCTCTCCATCCAACGAAAATCCTGCCTACGGACCTGTCCTTGCTTGGCATTATAGGGTAGGCTTTATGTAGGCTGGGATTTGCAACAAGGTCTTGGACTAGGCCTCTATACTATAGTAGGAGGCCTGGTCCTAGTCTAGGCCTATAATATAGTAAAATTCTGTATAAGTAGTCATTATGATTACAGTTTTACATTGTACCAAGGTCAATATTAACGATCGCATTTATTTTTCATTGAAAAAACAAAAACAAAACAAAACTTTAAAAAAATTAACTTAAGATTTTAAAATATTCAAAAAAAACTGTACACTTCAATAAAAAAAATTAAGTTAACTTAAAACACAAACAACGCGATAGGATATGAAGTTTGCGAGAATAATTGGTATACTTGTACTGTATTTTCTGAAGCGCCGTTCGTTTTTGGGGTTGCTAAAATTAACAGTTGTTACATCAGTGGCGTCACGCTCGGGCACTGACGGAAGGGAGTGGGAACGCCAGGGCCCCAAGTGCGAGCCCCCCCCCCCGACATTGTTTAAACAAAATATAATATAA